TAACGTTTTGGGTCCAGTGATCCTTGAAGGGATTGGAAGTAACTGGACCCAAACACTTAACTCTGATTTCTGTCCAAAGATCCTGCCAGACTTGCTGAGCTTCTCCAGCAAGTTCTTTCAGTTTTAACTTGGTGAGGGCACTTCAAACCAGCACAGTCTGCTGCCAGAAGAGAGCAGTTTGAGCTAAACTCTGGTATTTGGGAGATTTCTGAATAGATAGAGTCTAATGGCAAGATGGTAGATGTAGGTCATTCAACATGCGACGATGTGCCTTACAGAAGGAAGACAGGCTTTAGGAAGCAAGAAGGAGAGTTGTTAGCTGCACAATTCCTAGCTCTTTACCTGATCTTGCAGCCACAGTCACTGATCGAATTTGGTTTCTGGTAAACATTCCCCCCTGGGATGCTGGGGGATCATTTGATCAATTGTGATTTTAGGGGCTCAATAAGGGCAATTAAATGGGGGTGTGAGTATCATTGGCTAAAGCTGCATTTACTCAGTGCAGTTAAGAGTCAACCACACTGCTGTGGATATGGACTCACAAATAGACCAGACCAGGTAAGGATGATGGATTCTGTGGTAGATTCTGCAATGGTTTTGCCATTGCACATCAACAACCTGCTCACAAGATTGGCTACACATTATTTGATAATTTGAATAGGGTGGACCAGCACCCAATTGAGGGCTACCTGCCCAATGCACTACTGCATACCAGCATGATATGTCTGGTATACAATCCAATGTCATCTCACCAGATTTTACATAGCTGCAGGTGCAGGTTAATTCTTTTTTAAGAATATGTACTGGGAGCAAACTGCTATTTGGTAGATCTTGGTTTTTTTGAAGTCCTCTGTCAGAAAGGGCAGAGAACAGGGTGGCAAAATTGTTCTATAACTATCTGCCACAAATATCCAATACTCCTGGGTTATCCTAGAGAGCAATTAAAATTCCTGTCTTCATATATGCATGCTTCAGTTGTATTGGCATTACACCTATACTAACTAACATCTATATTTCATTAATGTATTTACAAACATGCCAAACAATGTGATAATAACCTGACAAGTTCTGAGGAAGGGTCACCGGACCTGAAAAGTTACTCTGATTTTTTTTCTTCAAGGATGCTGCTTTTTCATTATCTTTGTTTTTGTTCCTGATTTACAGCATCCACCGTTCTTTTGGTTTTTAATAGCCTGATAACGCCTTTTCTTGTGTGGTGTTGGCCGTGTCACCAAGGTTAAGTCCTCTAGTCTTTAAAATAGTGCAAAGGGTTCTTTCATATTGTATCCAAGGACGCAAACACGACCTCAATATAGTGGCACTTTCACAGTGCAATGCTTCCTCAGTATTACACTGGATTGTTGATCCTTTTCTTCACTCAAACCCTAGATTATGACCCAAACCTAGAATCCTGTGCTTCAGGGACAAGAGTGCTATCTACTAAACTATAGCTTTACATTTACCATCTTTACCTTAAATTCCTCTGCCCTGCCCTGTTCATTCTCACCTCAAATGATTAAGGACAAACACTGACAGTGATCCCACTCAAGACTGAAATGGATTCTTAATGATCCCTAAAAGAAAATGCAGTAAGGCTGTGCAAAATCAGGTGAATCATAAAAACATGATTAATAAGGTTGGGAAAATTTTGAAGATAAACTAAAATAAGCACAATAAATAGAAAAGAAACAATCCAACAAGAAGCGCAAACATTGTTAAATGCAAGAAAAATCTTCAGATGGCAAAATGAATCAATGTAGCAATAGGGATAAAATGAGCAGCACTGAGGATACCCCAATGGCTAAGTGAGGCTGGTTGGTCCAATGAACAAAAGCATTGCACTTTCTTATCTGGGGAGCTTCAAGCCAACTCTTATCGGGTGCAAAGTCTTTATGCCATTCTCCCGTGGAGATCAACAAACCAAAGCTACTACGTGACTCCAATAAAGAAACCAATGGACAAAATGTCATTTTTTACAGCTTTTTACCTTATCAAAGCAGGATTAACATTAAAAACGAATAGGCAAATTACAGTAAATGTAGAGCACAAAGGCAGACCTTATAGATTCAATCCACTCAATATACATGGCACCAGTTTCTGCCACAAAGACCTTCAAGTCTTTCTCAAGCAGAATACCAAATCCTCTTCTCCAAAGATTTAGCCACAAATTCTCACCCAACTCCCAGTCAACCCAGGTTCACAGGTACAATCTTCAAAAAATAAAGTAGCGTACTTCTTCAGTGCTGCTCATGACAGGCTTGATGGTGTAGATTCATCATCATTACTTTTATCCAAACTCACAGGGACAACCTGGTGCACTGTGTTACTGGGTCAGGTCACATCAATTAATTAACTAATAGAAATAGCTTCATCAACCTTGTATTTGTTTACATCTACACACTGAAACTAACTTTTATTTTCTTCAGCCTGTGTGATGGGAGCCTAGATGGCTCTACAACTGCAACTAGTTACAACCCAGTTTCAGTTTCCCTCAATTTAAAAGGTGAAACTAAAAAAAAAACCTTTTTAGGATTTGTGCACCCAGCATAACATTCAACAAATTTCTTCAGACAGCTGCCCACATGCACTCCCTCAATGGTCTGAAAACCACAAATTCTGTAACATACAACAAGTATAAGTCCACATGAATTGTAGATTTTCACTTGAGGAGATAGTAGCATGATAGCAATTGGTAATTAAGAGGCCCAGGCAAAAATCTGTGGACATGGATTCAAATCCTGCCATGGCAGCCAGCAGCATGTACATTCAAATAGTTTTATTTAGAAAGAAAATTAGAATTGAAAGCTAGTTTAATTAATGTTAACCATGAAACTACTATCAATTACTATACAAGCCCAGCTGGTTCACTAATGTGTTTTAAAGGAGAATGCAGTGTTGTCATGGCAATATCACTGAACTAATCATTCAGAGACCATGGATAATGCTCTGGTGACATGGGTTTGAATACCACCGTGGTGTATAGTGAAATTTAAATTCAATACAAAAATAAATTTGAATTAAAAGCTAATGTAATGGTGACCGGAGCTATGGTTGATAATAGTAAAAATCTTTTTGGTTGACCAATGCCTTTAAGGGAAGGAAGTCCATCAGCCTCACCTGGTCTGATCTACATGTGACTGCAGAGTCACAGCAATGTGATTGACTCTTACCTGCCCTCAGAACCAGGCCACTCAAGGCAATTAGGGATGGGCAACAAATGCCCACATCTCACAAACAAGGTAAAAGAAATGTAAAAGCTACCATTCTTACCTGATCCTCCAGTTCCACAATAATGGCTCCATAAGCCATTCAATCCAAGGCCAATCAGGAAATGAACAACAATAAATGGCCTTGCCAGCCACACCTACATCCCATATAAGAATTTAAAAAAAAAAGACACTGACAGGGCTTCTGAGATTGAGTTACTGAAGATGGCTGTATTGAGTAAACTTTATATCTGACCTAAGTCACTGCTGGTAACTTAACACCTTGTCAAATTAGCTTCTTGGAAACAAGACAGGAAGAACATATCCTTAAAAGGTAACTTGGATATGGTACAGCAAAGGTCAATTTCATATTTTTCTAATTTTCAAAGAATAAAGTCTCTTCACTTGACAGCTATTCAGAAGTATCCTATTCAAATGTTCCTCAATTTAAAAAAAAATTAATGAGATGTACATCAATTTTGTTTTTACAAATTCTCAGAAGGTTTGTATTTGTTAATATGCTTTGTACTGAAGTTAGTATTTCACACAACTTTGATATGTTTATTAGCTGGAACATGTACTCAGCTACAAAAGCTTTAAATTACATTTTGTGCAAATTGCTATAAGGAGAATGGTTCCAGACTCATCATCACAAAATCCATTTAAAAAGAGGAAAGATCCACTTTATTGATCTACAAGTTGTCAGCACATTAGCTTTGATAGCTCCTTCTGTTTATTGGCTGATAATCTATGATGCCTTTTCTGTGAACTCATGCTCAGTCAGCATTCAAACCAATCCAATTCTTCTTTTCTAAAACTACACCTTCTTTCATCCCCACTCATATTGCTTAAAGTGGTCATTCCTGAATTAAAATGATCTTTTTATGATGAAGTTACATAACAGACCCATCTATTCGATTGTATTTCAGAGGGGGTTGGCCAAGAATTGTCAGTATTCATTGTCCTTGCCTCTCTGAAACTGACTGCAATGCATTGATCTCAGAAATGCTTTGATTAGCATGAAAACTCTGTAGGTGCACTCTGCATTAAGTGCCCTTACCACAGAAAAAGCCATGGGGAAATCTCCAAGTATTCCAACTTCCCCGTACAACGTTACACCTTGTTCAAACAACATTATACTTCATGTTTTAATGTTGACGTGAATAAGAGAGCTTGATGAACACAAACGCTAGACCCAAAAAAAAGTAGTTTGGTAACTGCAGAGTACTTTAAAATCCAATAATTTGTATGAATATAGTATTTGAAAATAATATTTTTCATCACTTTGTTCCACATCAGGCTTTCTACTGAGCTCTCAGTATCCTTTTTGATACTTCAACTTTTAACTTATGGAAAAATGTGGGGTCAAACTATTTGCAAAGGGAAGAAATAAGAAAACTTTATAAAATATGCAAATTTTGAAATTGAGCAGATATTTTACATTATAAGATCCATATTCACCAAATGCTTTCTGTATTTAGTGTTGCTTAATTGAATCATTAAGCTTCAGCAATAACTTAAGAATAATGTGTGTAAACACTTGGTTCTTGCTCAAGTAGGACAAAGAAAGATAATAGAAATGAGATTTGGAATGAATTAACACTAAACTGGAGTTTTATTTGCATGAGTTAGCATACTTAGTAGCCTGCATAAGCTCAGATAATACAGAAATTCAAATTACAGAATGCATTTAACATACATAGCTTTTGACAAGCTGTACTTCAGAAAGAATGTCATTATTGAAAAGGAACACACTGAAACATGTGTTTTGAAATTTTAAATTTGAAAAAGTACCTTAGCTTCTGAAGTGGGCTCAAGAAAGCACAAACGACTACCAAATCCTTCAGCTGAAAGGCAAAATTTACGTTGTTCCTTTTGGATGGTGGCAGTAGACTGAAGTACAACTTCATCATCCTATGAAAAGAAAACAAAGTCTGGTAAGAACAGCTTATAATTTAGCTAACATTTTGATTGACATGCAAGAAAACATTTGCAACTTAATCGTTAAAAAGCTCCACTTAACTTTCTGAATGTCCACATAAAATGTTCTCAAATAAACCTTTTTATTGGGTTGGCATCATATGTAACCAAAATAACTAGGCTGAAAAATGATACAATGTAAGCACTATTCCAATATATGCTTTTTAGGATACTATCCTATATATCTGAATATTAATAATGCAAGCTCGTTGCTCTACAGTGCAGATACAGAATGTCATTTCAGTAATTAAACATAATGCATCGTTAATCCCATCAGTTTTTTTTCAATGAAAATCAATTTAAAGTCTAATCTTGAACTCCCTCCGTTGTCATCGAGGGATCTCTTCATTGACTGAGTTTTCCTCCATATGGTCATCAACTGAACTACTGCTAAAAATTGAGACTGATGGAGCAATAATCCATTAGTCAAAAGTACTCTTCGGGTTTTCATACCTGAGTGTTTGAATGCTCCACTAAAGCAAATAAATTTTTCTTACTTTGAGTACTGTCCTTTTTATTTAAAAATAAGAATTTCAAAATGATGATAATTGGTGAGATTGTTGCATATTTGCCATATCATCTTGCACTATATTTGCCAACTGCAATATAATTTGATGACTGAACAAAGAACTCTCTCAAAAATTCTACGTTTATCTTCTTTATGCTATTTAATATTTTGTATGTCTAAATAATTTACTTTCAGACTAAATAACTCAAAGTTTTCCAATAGCTCCCCTTACACTTGGCACTAATTTTGTTCTTCCTTGTGTAAGATTTTGGGCTGCACTTTTTAATTGTAAAACCCAAGTCAATTATAATTACAGTGACTTTTGAGAGAGCCAATCTCAGAGATTACTAGTCATTATTAGTTACAAAGATTAATTCCAGGTAGAATTGTGTTTTCACAAGCTTTAAAGTTTGTCATAAAGGAAAAGTGCAGTGTTTTAATAAAAACAGTGTTTTTCAGCACTTTTCACTTCAGGACACCAGTTCATGACACTGATTGACTAAGCACAGGTCTCTTGTTCTGTTCTGTAAACTAAAGTTCTCCTGTTTCCAGTCTTCCTGTCTTGTGCACTGAACCACACAAACCTCAGGCCTCAGTAATTTTTATGATCCATTACCCTGCACATATCCTGATTTTTAATTGGCTTAGCAGTGCATGAACAGTGCATGAAAAAATCATGGTTAATTTGTGTCTTTGAGTAAACACGATGACTTCATATCATGGTGGTGAATATTCCAAATATTAGGATGTTACAAAGAATAATCTGTACAGCACAATTCTCCAATTTTCTAACTATCTCAAATTCTATGAGTTGACATCTATCTTGTTAAACAAATAATTTAACCATATTTGAACAAAAAGAACAAGAAGATTTCATTGCAACAGAAATGTTATTGTTTTTATAAGTGACTGAGCAGAAACAATTTGTATTTTTTATTTATGCAATAAATAAGACATAGATAAAAATACATCTTTTTTTCAAGCAAGACATTCATGTATTCTGGTCTTTCTATAAATAAATCTTGTGAAAGCCCAGGATTCTTTCTTATAGTTGCAACTTTTAAAGCATTGCATCCCTACATCAGACGAAGGCATTTTTATTTAAATTATATAATATTAACACAGCAAAATAGGGAACACTTAACCCTTTAATGCATTATTAGTCTTTCATCTATTGAAATGTATTAGGGCAGCACACTCCTGAAATTTCAAAAAGATACCTAAACTTTTATGGATATTAGGAAACTCTTTTATATGCAAAGTATGGAACTGCTTCCACATCTGACAATTGATGCTAAGACCCAAGGACCAAGAAGTAGTCTATGCATGTTAGCTGTCCTGCCTGATCTGCACCAGTTCTCTTTACATCATATGGCTTTATGTTCAGTTGTGCCATATCCCATCTTAAACTCTGATTGAAATTTAACATCCCACCATATTAGATGCACTGAAATCCTCACTGATTTGATTAGTAGAGTAACAACTTTCAAATAATGCTCTCTGCTTAACAATCTATCTTTCAAAGTGTAAAACTCTCTGAAATCACCTGATAATCGTCAAGGAAACATCAGTATGTCAAATAACATCCAATCACCAGTAAATTGCTCACTGGCCCTCAGTTTGACAGAACCACTCAACATTAGACTTGGAAATAGTCTTCGTTGAGAAATGGATATTAAGACTGATTGCCAGAGAAGAGGCAAGAGTATAGCTACTGATATCAATGCAGCTTTTAACAGAGCTTAGCCCAAAGATCCTGGGAGATTAGGATGACAGTGGGGGTTAAAAGAAAACCTCTCAGCGGTTAAAGTCATAAATAATGCAATGTAATATTTTTGTAGTTGGTGTAAGCCATAAAGATCCAAAAGAATGATCATCGGCCAAGTATTGTTGCAGAAATTCAAGGGATTATTACCTTTAGCAATGTTATCATTGGCAATCTTGCTATCATAATGTCTATAACGAATACAGCTACAATTGTAAAATACTTAATCTTAATTTATATCCCCTTCTTTGATAACAAAATTTATGCCAGGCCTGGACACTACCTTGACTTGGCCTAGCAAATGGTAAGTAACATTTAAGCCACTTCAGTGTCAGGCAATGACCACATAACCATTGTATCAGACAGCACTCAAAAGAGGCTGGTTTGCCAATTATGCTCACTCCCTGTCCTTTCTTCATAATTCTCTGAGTAACAAGCACTTGCAACTGGTGCTTCGGGTAGTTCGCCACCCGTCCTTCCTTCAATGTTGAGTCTAAAGGCTTGCATAATTACCAATGATAGAGGAAACATCGCTGAAGAGTCTTATCAAGAAGATGCACGTGTCTTACCAGCTTGTAGTTTATTGCATGATAGCAATACATATACTTCACTTTCGGTAATTAGAAATAATTACAACTATAAAAAGGAGCCAGGTATGTCACACCTGTCTCCATCAAGACATCATGCAACACTGTTTTTCTATCCAAAGAAGGGTGTGTCATCATCAGACTGGCGGAGTTAATGTAACGTCAACCTTAACCCTTTCACCACATTTATCCTATATAACAGCACTACATTATATTTATTTTTCAAGCATGTACACAACTGAAATGGACTTGCACCATCCTTTCAGGCAGTGCATTCCAGATAGATAAAACTCCCCTCTGATCCTTGTGCAATTCTCTTGCCATCTTCAACAAACGGAAGCCGAGTCACTCATCAACGTTCCAAAAATCTGAGCATTACATAACCAGTGCGTGTGACCTCTCAAACCCTCTCCAATTATAAGTTGCTAGCATAATGGAATGCTCACAACTTGCCTGAATTGATTCAGCCATTCATTCAGGATAGAGCATTCTATTAGATTCAGTGCATACCAAGAAGCTTAATATCATCCTGTGTCTGTCTGTGCACTATAGTTGTAGCAATGCAGCAATTCACCAAATATTTGCTTCAACTATACTTTCTAGCTCCACTCCATCTACCTGTTAGAAGAACAAAAGTAGCAAGATCATAGAAACACTGAGATGTGCAAAAAATTCTTCAGTTAGAAGCTCAGGAGTTTTTTATTTTGTTCTTCATTCATGGAATATGGACATTGCTGGCTAGGCCAGCATTTATTGCTTGTTCCCAGTTACCATTAAGAACATGGTTAGTTGCTTTCTTGAATGGTTACAATCCACTTGATGTAGACAGACTCCCACAACAGTATTTAGGTGTTAGGATTTTGATCCGACAACACTGGAGGTACAGTGATATATTTCTAAGTCAGGATACTTAGTAGTTTGGAGGTGAACTTGCAGGTGGTGCTGTTCCCATGTATCTGCAGCCCTTTCCTTCTAGCGAAAGTGGTCATGGATTTGACAAGCACTATCTAAGGGGCCTTGGTAAATTTCTACAGTGCAGTCTTGTAGATAGTACACACTGGCGCTACTACTGTGTGTCAGTAGTGGACGGCGTGCCAGTCAACTGGGCTGTTTTGTCATGGATGGTGTCAAAGTGTTGATGGAGCTACACCTATTCAGGTATGTGGGGAATATTCCATCACACTCCTGACTTGTGCCTTGTAGATGGTGCACAGGCTTTTCAGAGTCAGGAGAGTTGCTCTTTACAGGGTTCCTGGCATATACCTGCTCTTGTACCCACTGTATTTAGATGACAAGTCCCATTCAGTTTCTGGTCAACAGTAGCACTAAGATGGCTTTGAAATTCTCTGTCCCTGGGTCTGTAAAACATCATCTTCAGTATATCCAAAACTGGGATATTTAGGTACTAAGAGAATTTATGAATATGGGAGATCAGGCAGGAGGAAGTCAAAGTGAAAGTTTAGCCATGATTATATCAAATAGAGCAGACACAAGGATCCTTGTGGCCTTCCAAATTTCTTTTCTTCCTATTTCAAATGATTTTAACACAAAAAATGTTGTTGTTTTAACATAGAAAATTATTTCTCTTAAGATACGTTACCCCATACTTATTTTGTAAAAATTATGTTGAATGAATGAGCCTTTACAAAAGCTGAACACTGCAGATGCTGGAAATCTGAAATAAAAACAGAATATGCTGGAAACACTCAACATGTCAGGCAACATGAGACCATTCATGGAGTACTGTGTACCTTACTAGAGGAGGGATATAATTCCATTGGAGGCAGTTCAGAGGAGATTCACTCAATTGATTTCAGAGATGAGGGGTTTGTCTTATGAAGAGAGATTGCGCGGTTTAGACCTGTATTCTCTGGTGTTTAGATGAATGAAAGATAATCTTATTGAAGTGTATAAGATGCTAAAGGGGATTGACAAAGTAGGCAGACAAAGGATGTCCTCCACCTGGACCCCTCTCTCTGACCTTTTACAGCCTCAATTTCTCTGCTCGTCACAAATCCCCTCCCACCACACATCCCCAATTCCAACCTCTCTCTTTTTCTCTCTCTCTCTGAAC